TAATAATAATAATAATAATAATAATAATAATAATAATAATAATAATAATAATAATAATAATAATAATAATAATAATAATAATAATAATAATAATAATAATAATAATAATAATAATAACATCATTCATTAAGAAATTCTGTTGAACTAAGTTAATCAAAGCATTTTTAAAGCCAATAAGTAGCAGAATATTCGTGTCCAAAAGAATTGCTACTATGAAAAATTGATGATTTTCAGTTATTGTTTACCGATCGAACAACAAGCAAATGTAATTGAAGCACAATCTCTAATAGGTCCATGCTCTTCCACAAATAGTTCAATATGGTATGATTGGATGAATGATTTCTGCGCCACGAAACACGTTGTTTTACTTCTGATTCCACTCGCAATCTTCATCGTTTTCTTTGCTTGTGGTATAACATTTATCATTCTTGATCACTTATATATTGCCAATATCGTTTTTTAATTTGCCTATCCTTTTTTTAAAAAATAAAGTATAAAACGTGCTGAAAACAAAGCACTTCCTTTCTTTGTTGGCTTAAAAATTGACGAAAATTTTCAAATAATCAGAAAGTTTTTTTGCGGATGAAGAAAGATGAAAAATTTTATCTTTAATTGTTTCATATCTCTTCAAAAAATCGTTTCATATTTTGATTGCATTGTTTAATTGCATACTAACCGAAACCACTGGTAGTAGTGAGGATAATTTATTATCGATTTCACTTCACGTTGTAGCGCTTTAAAAGAAAAGAAACAAAGGCTTGTACTGATAGCAATGAAATGACATTTTTTTCAATATATTTATAGTTTTATATAATCCACGTGTATTACTGACGAATTTGTGACGCAATAGATCGCAGCTATTTAGCAGATACTAAAAGTCTTTCATAAAAGAACGAAATTTTAATATTACTGTTAAATTTTATCAAGAAGAATCAGAAGTGAGCAATTAAGTACACTTTCAAGATCTGAAGAGTTTTGAAAATCAATAGTGGCTAGCTTACTAAAGTAGTACAATGATTTCAGGTTATGCACCGTCTTCATGGGTTATTAATGCGGAAATTTATCCCATGTGGGCACGAAGTATTTGCGTTAGTATTGCCGCAGCTTGCAATTGGTTCTTCGATATCGTCGCATCCACGTCTTTCATCCTACTCATGAGGAATTTCGGAACAGACTGTAAGAATTTCAGCAGAATGTTTATATTTTATTTCAAAATCTTTTGTTAAACCATAGGAAATTAATATCGAGCAAAGGATTAAATACCAATAAAAACCCTTTAACCACTTATGTGATCCATTTTACAACTAACGAGTAACGAACTGTACATTAAATACGAACTTTCACTGAAGTGCAGATGATTAAATCATTGATTCATCATGCCTGACCTAACTGCTAATGTTCTGACTGTCGACGAAATCTTTTCAGTCTACTCTGAATATACCATAAGTCTTGAAATTTACGAAATATATTTTGAAAATTTCAGCAGCTTTCTTCATTTATGCAGCTCTTACAATGGTTGCATTCGTATTCTTTTTCATTTTCTTGTCCGAAACGAAAGGGACAAGTTTGGAGGATTTGGAAAGGATGGCTAATGTTAACCAGGAACCTATAACACCGTACCCCTTATGTTCCAGTTCTTTGTTCCAGCCATTAAAATGTGAACAAATGCAAACATTTAAATAAAAAGTGAATCTCTATAAATCAAAATTAGCATTTATTTATGAAATCCAAGCACCAAAGTGAGAAACAATTTCAAAATATGAAAATATTACAAAGAGCATTGGAAACGGTAAAGCAAAAAAAAGGGAAGTCTTAGGAATCTTCCTTTTATAAAATGATAAAATCCTACTTTACTGAAAACTTTCAAGATAAGCAAAATTTAAATAAATTAGGGAGGCTAAAAAGTTAACCTAGTGAAGAAAAATATCCTTCCAATACTCTAACTGAAATCATAACTATTCTGTGGTTAACTAAAACCTCTTGTCGACAACTATCATGACTGAAGTTGAATTTCACAACACATTGCTTAGTAACATAAAACTAAGCTTTTTTCAAAAAACTAAGAAGTTTCACAATCCTGTCACTTTTCGCAGTTCCAAATTTGTTGCAAAACTCTGAACTGACCGGTAACCACGTCGAAATTCCTCACATTCAACGATTGGAATACAAAATCAAGTGAACTTATGTTTTTTTCCGCATATTTTGAAAAATATCCAAATATTGATGCATAGTATCAAGAGCATTATACGGCTCCGGTTGCGCTTTTTGCAAAACCGCTGGCTTATCAGCAACATGGTCAGGAAAAAACACTCCTATGAATTCTTGCAAAAAGTTACTACATTGTGATGCTACGCAAGATGGTGCATATTCAACTTCAACAATTACGCCTTTGCTGATTACACCCATTGAGGCATTTCCGGTCCGAATAATAAAATCTTGCAATACATATTCATGACCAGAAACTTCGAATTTTCCAGCAGTATCTTGTACCAATCCGGAACTAAGTTTTGCCAAGATACAATCGAATCCACGATCGGATATCGCCCGTGGACAGTGTTTTTGCTTTTCATTCGGTGCTATTGTGAAAGTACTTTGCGGGAAACGCGAATGATGCAGGATGAATACGTGATTGATAGCTCCTTGAACATTATCGCTCGGTTTGAATGGCGTGGAATCAACCGTGAAAATGCCACTTTTCACGCCACCTTCTCCTTCGATTGCACGTTCAATGCTAACAGCACTTTTACCTGTTTCGAAAACCCAAGCAACGCCCATTTCTATCTTTTGTGGCTTTATTTTTCATTCATGGAGCAAAAGATTCTGAAGAAAATATTTCATTTTAATTAGAAGGAAAGCAAACTACATTAGGATAACATCTGTATGATTGAATCCCACAATCGAAATTCATCGGACGAATTTTAATGAAATACCTAGAAATTCCTACGAAAAATTAAGACTTACATATCCCTAATATTAACACGAAGAAGAAATGTAAGAATATAAATTTGAAATAAACCTTAGTCAGAGGAACTAATATCGCTTAAGACCAATAGCAAACATTGTCAATTATCAACCAGTTAATTCCCATTATAATTATTAAGTTCGCAGAAGTACTCAAAAAAATAAATATTTGAAAAGTTTTATAACCAACCGTTATACAACCAATTTTATAATTAACCTTTAAAGGAGTAAAATTCCTTCACAACCACATTACAATCATATTTAGATTTATTTTCAATCGTGAGACAATCTGAAAGTTAAAAATATTCATTAATGGATTTTTTTAATAACAATTCAGCAACATTCTCACGGTTTGAACTAACAGTTTGTACCAAAGGTTGGTTACTGAGAGACAGGAAGAAAACGGAAGGACTAAGATTACAATTGAAAGTACTTCGTATTAGGGTAAGCAATTCATAAGACTGAACTGAATAATATACTTAATCAAAATTAGGAAATCACGATGCGAGGAAAAGTAAGCTGTCATTAATTCAAATCTTTCGATTACAAATTTTAATGTTATGTAAGACGAGCCGTCTTTTATTCACTAAAAAATTCTGTTATCATGTTCCACTGTTAAGTGAATGTAAATCCAAGCTTGGTAATCACGCCCGTAATTATGCTGGAATCAAAATGCTGAAACCTTGAAATTTTAAAATTTCAATAAACTGAAAGTGCTAAACAGTTCGGATGTCATGTACGTTACATAAAAAGCATCACACAATATTTGAAGTGAAATATATCATTACAAGATATATTACGAAAAACAACATCATGAAATACATTTAATACAAAAAATAGTATAGGAATTTGCAAGAAGTAAAACTGATAAAATTTTAAAGATAACTAAAAAATAAAGAATTGATTTTTCAAGAGAATGATTAAAAAACGGGAAATAGCAATAATTGAGGACGGAGCAAAAAATGGTATCAAAAAAAGTATTAAAGAGAGGGGAATTTGACAGAATATGATAAAGAAAAGATTGAGAAAATGATTAGAGATAAGGGATAACCAGTGATGACAATAGGTGAAACCAAGAAAAGTAAAAACATGCCGATTTAACACTTGTAGCAACTTGAATGCAAACCTACCACTTCCAAGCTAGTATTCAGCTTGCGAAAGAAAGAAATCGGTGGTGATGTGTGATCGGAAGAGTTACCATGATGGATGGGATTATTGCCGGATCTGAGGATTTTCCCTTTTTGTTTTCATTTTTTGCACTCTTTCAACAACTTATATGTACTTCTATTTATTACAATGAGCTGCTGTTCAGTTCTCAATTGACTGGTAAATTAATCTCGACGTTATGTCTTGTACGTTCAGTTTTTAACTTTAAAATTGATTCAAGTGACTCATTATTCAGCTAGAAAAATTCCTTCGATTCATTTTCGTTCCATATTCATTTGATTTATCTTTCACTTAATTTATAACTATTTCTCAACCTTTTCAAACAGTTAATGATACGATTTCTTTTGTTATCAAGCAGTTAATCAGCTAAATTAGTCATATAGTAATTAGTTAACATACATTTCTTGTAATAATATCTTTCAAGCTATTTGTATTTATTAGAAGTATTGTTTAAATTATTGATGCTGTTCGTTTACTTTCACTTCTAAGCCATATTATAGATTGCTAAGATTTTTGTGCAGTTTTAAACCCTAATTTCTTTCCGATCATTTGTTCATAATTTTCAGGAATTTTCATTTTGTGGAAGGTGTTTACGTGTATTGCAATACGTTTTTTCTTGTTACTCGTGCTTTTTTCAGACAATGAATATCAGTAACAATCCGGTGAAGGGTTTCCTTTTAGATATTACCGGTGTTTTATACAATAGCGATCCAAACACGATTGGACGTGTTATACAGGGATCAGTGGAAGCAGTTAATAGGTTTTTCCTTTTAATTAAAAAATCAAAAATTTATTAAATCG